CCAGCCTGAGGTGGCTCCAGGCCCGTCTGACGCTCCACCTTGCCCTCCCCAAGACGACACCCACACTATGGCTTCAGCTCTCAGCTTAATCTGTTGGCTCCCGAGTCAGTGTTTCTGGCCCAGGCCTCTCCAGGCTGGATACCTCCAGGTTTGGCTATCCAGCTGCCCAGTGGTCATCTCCACTGGATGTGCCACAGGTACTACAGCCCATCGCCCCCCGAACAAACTCGTCACCCCAGAGACTTTCTCCTTTTCCCTTGCTCTTCGAGGTGAGAAGCTGCCCACACCTGAGAGCTCCTTTCCCCACCTTCCACCTCACTCTACACACTGGAGGTCGTGTCCTTCCCCTCTGCCACCAGCTCAGTGTTGGCTTCCGCTCCTCTCTGTTCTCAGCGTCCCCTGCTTAATCCAGGTCAAGCCTCCTCCTGCTGGGATAGCTGGGTGTCCCCCTACCGACATTCCTGCCTCAAATCTGACTTTCTTGGTCCATGCTCCTCTCCATCCACACACCACGAGGCTCCTGCCTGGCTCCCATGACCCCAGCGTGCCCCTAATGCCTTAGCTCTTGTAGCTGTCCCTCCCCACTCCCAGCCCAGATGTGCCCAAGCCCAGAGGTGTGAGACCTTGGCAGCCCATGTGCTTCCGGAATGAGCATGGCTGTAGTTGTGGTGCTGGCCATCTGCATCCATGGTCTTGCCCCATCCTCTTGCTCCCTTCCTTTCTGGGTTGGCGCTGGCATGGATCAGCAGTAGCAAGGCCCAGATGGTCAGAGGGAGGTGGGATAGGGCTGGCCAGAGAGGCCTGCCAATGGGGTGGCTGCAGAGTGTGCAGCCTGGGGCATGAGCGTCAGCATGGTGCATCAGGGGTGGGGGGATGGAACGGCCTCCGTCCTCGGCAGGGCCTGCTGCCCTGGGCCTCTGTTCCCCATCCATTCTCTGTGAAAAGGCCCTCTGGGCCGCCCATTCAAGGGACTCCTTCCTGAGGAGAGGCTGTGCTATCCTGGCTTGGGAAACTCCAAGCTACCCTGTGGGGCCTCCTAGGCAGAGAGGCCGGCTCTCCTACCTGTGAGGCATAGGTGTCCAGTTTCTCAAACTGTTGCAGGTCCAGGGGCATGGATTTCAGGCTGGACCGATCCCAGGGATAGGCTGGAAACACAGGGAGGGGAGGCTAGGTCAGCTGCTGTGACCTGCTGACGTGGGCTGCCTGGCTCAGGCCTCCCTGTCTTTTTGAGGAGCTGTGACTGCCTGACCTTCAACATGATTCCCAGAGCCTGAAACTCTGCTCCCAAGAGCTATATCTCTTGGCAGAGTTCTCTGGTTGAATTGGTTTGGGGACCACGGCAACTCCTCTAGTCCTCTTAGAGACTCACAGGGAACATAAACTTATTTGAGACCCCGTGAAACTGGCAGTAAAGAAACTGGTTTCACCTCAATTAACTCAGCAGTCCCCAGACAGATCGATGATGAAATCCCCTTCTCCCCGCCATTTAGTTTTCTGCAGATTCGCAGCTAACTTGTCCAGGATGAGTGCTCTGTGGAAAGCGTCCAGGTGATGCCGCTAACCCCTGATGGACTAAAGGAGGGAGGCTCGGCGCCAAGGTCATGGTGCCGGGGATGGAGGTGCTGCAGAGCATTCTGGGTGTAGAAAGAGGGAGTGGTGGAGCCGGGCCACCTGGGCCTCTGCAGGGGAGGGGGGTTTGGCACCCAGATAGGCTTTCTCCCTTGCCCCTAGTCAGCTGGAGATTAGAGCACCCCAAGGAAACCAAGTGTTCTGAGGGGAGGCTGCTGAGGGAGGCTGCCTCCCAGAATCACTGATCTATGTCCAGCCATTCCCATAGAAACCTGGACAACAGGACAGGCTCAATCAGCTGCTAAAGGGCTAATTGACCAGTGGTCAGACCTACCGACAGATGAGCAGCAAAGCCCTGTCCTAACCCAGAAAAGAGCCTGGGCTCTGGCAGTGTCCTTGTTATCCAAGGCCCTCTGAGCCAAGCTGACCCAAATCAGGCAAGGTGGGTGGGAGGACAGGGAGGGCTGAGAGGGGGATGGGGCCATGGGCATTGATCCCCTGACTCATGTGGACTCATTCACCTTTCAGCTTGACATTTTGGGACCCTCTGAGTGGTGGGTGAGTGAGGGGTGCTAGTGGGGCCCCAGGGTGCAGCAGCAAGCCTGGGAAGAGTAGAGCGATGTGGGAAAATGCCTAGTGGGGCTGCACAAGGCCTGGGTTCTAGTTGCGGCCCAACCGCCACCTCACTAGGGGTGCTGGACTCAGCCGCTGGGCCTCAGGCACATGTGTATGGGGCACCTGGGGAGAGTGAATGAGATGGTGGATCATGCTGTAAGGTTGGTGTGACTCTGCCTCCTGGAGGGTACAGAATCGAAGGCTTCTGCAGGCAAGTGCAGGAGCAGGGGTATGGAGCCTCTGTGCTCAGTGCATTTGCCCACATGTCCCGCAAGGGCTGTGAAAGTCCCATACCTTGGTGCTAGAGACCCAAGACATGGACCCTCTCTGGGCCAGGAGGGGACGAGGCGCAGTGCCAGCTGGTTAGGGGCTAGTCAGGTGTAGCCATCAGAAGCAGGCCACACGGGTCCTTCTGCATTTCCTCACTGCCCCAAGGTCCATTCCTGGTGGGAACCAGGCCTCTTCCTTCTCAGCCCCAGGCTAGATTTGGC